TAGCAGAAGGACTGGCGAGGCCGAGGGTGGCTGCACCCACAGCACCCCGAGATATTTGAAGAGCTACCAGACCCTTCCCCACCCGACATGCCCAAGCCGGAGGGTGGCGGGAAAGCATGTGGGCAGCTGGAGGGAGGCCTGGATGCCTCTCGGCAGGAGAAGCTGCTGTTTCAGATGTCCCCGCCAGCGGGAGCCCTGCCCGTGGCTCCAGGATGGGGCCTGGCCCCTTTCTAATAAAACTTTCTACTGGGCTTTGCAGTACCCAGAACACTTTCACATCAGGGAACTCCTTTGATCCTTCCACAGCCTGTAAAGTGGGCTGAGCCAGGGTGTCATTATCCCCATTTTACAGATGGGGAAGCTGAGGCTCTGATGAAAATGATGCTACAACTCAGGCATGCTGTAACTTAAGTTTCTGTAGCCTCGCCTCTGCATCATACGTTCGTAGTGAGAACAAGTTCATTGAACATTATTAGGGGCAGGTACCTGTATGGTTCTTTGTCCAATCTTTCACCCCCCTAAGTAGCTGGGATTTGAGCCGGGGGTTCTCAAAGTGTGGTCCCCAGACCAGGAGCATCAGCAGGGAACTCGGAAGAAATGCACATTCTCGGGCCCTGCCCCAGAACTACTGAGCCAGAAACCTGGGGAGGATCTGCAGTCTGGTTGGACATGCCCTCCAGGTAGCTGAGGCACACTCAAGTTTGAGAGGTACTGTTCCAATCCATTCCCTTTTAAACAAATAATATATCTTTATTGATTTCAGAAAGGAAGGGAGAGGGAGAGAGAGATAGAAACAGCGATAATGAGCGAGAATCATTGATTGGCTGCCTCCCACACTCCCCCTACTGGGGATCAAGCCCGCAACCCAGGCATGTGCCCTGACCAGGAATTGAACTGTGACCTCCTGTTTCATAGGTTGACGCTGGCCAGGCCTAATACTTTCTTTTTTAAAATTAAAAAAAAAAATTTAATCCTCACCTAAGGATATTTTCCATTGATTTTTAGAGAGAGTGGAAGGGAGGGGAAAAGACAGAGAAACATTGATGTGAGAGTGACAAATCAATTGGTTGCCTCCCGCCTACACCCAGGGATCAAGCCTGCCACCTAGGTACGTGACCTCGACCGGGATTGAACCCAGGACCCTTTAGTCTGCAAGCTGATGCTCTATCCACTGAGCCAAACCAGCTAGGGCTAATATATTCTTTTAACTCCATGGATTTCAGTCCTGACTGCACAGCAGAATCACTGGGACTTTAATAAATACCAAAGCTGGGCCAGACCTGGATCTCGGGGGTATTTTTATTTAATTTAATTTTTAAGTATATTTGTTATTGATTTCAGAGAGGAAGGGAGAGGGAGAGAGATAGAAACCGGGATGATGAGAGAGAATCGTTAATCGGCTGCCTCCTGCACGCCCCCTACTGGGGATTGAGCCCACAACCTTGGCATGTGCCCTTGACTGGAATCGAACCCAGGACCCTTCAGTCTGCAGGCCAACGCTCCATCCACTGAACCAAACCAGCTAAGGCTCGGTGTATTTTTAGAAGCTCTCCATGTTCACATCACTGTCTGACATGCACTAGGACGGAAAGTTCCACATTTTACCAGAGGTTCTAGCGTAGAACAGGGCAGCCTGTTCCAGGGAATCCTGGGGAGATGGGGAAGGCTTGGAGTCCAGGAAGGAGAGGCCCTGGGGGCTCAGTCCCTCCTTGAGCCGCCTCTGTGGGGGCCCAGGAAGCCTGCAGCCTTAGCGGGCGGGGGCCAGAGCACAGGACTGTTTGGCAGAGGGGGTTCCCCTCTCCCTTCTCTGCGTTGTTCCCCCTTCTCCCTCCAGGAGGCAGGCCTGGGGTATGCTGCAGCCAGCGGTTAAATTCAGGAATTGTGTGAGCTGGCCGTTGATCCCAGCCACCATTAAAACTTAAATTATATGAACCAGGGCTTCTCAACCTTTTGTCCATTACTGCCTCCTGAGGAGCCTTTCTGACATGTTTTCCTAATCTCCGACCACCCTCCTCATGAAACTTTAATATCACAGACGTCTTGTATGTCTATTTATACACTGGACATGAATCTGTGCTTTATGTATGAAAAGAGTAAGATGTTCCCCCGCCAGGAATCAACTGTCACCCCTGTTGAGAATGCATGACATAAACTCACAGTCAAATACATTAAAAACAAAGTAACATATACTCGAACCTCGTCACTTCCTGGGGATTTTATTACGACTTCACTATGAGCACTTCTTTCGAAGTTACTGTGAAACCTCTCTCCGCCCCTGGAGGGCGGGTGGTTCGCTGTCACTCTCCGCCGGGCAGGCCTTTTGGCTACAGAACAGGCTTCGCAAGGCGGTTCATCTTCGTGGAAGGGGACTGGTGTGAGGACACAGGGGAGGACCCCGAGAGTCCCAGGGGGCGCGGCCGGAGAGGGGGGGCGCTGGGAGAGAGGCGGCCCCGGCTCCCCGCGGGCTGGAGGGCGCCCGCGGGAAAGTGCGCGCGTGTGCAACCCGCAGCCCGCGCGCCGGGCGTGCGTCGCTGGCCCTCGCTCGCTGTCCTCGGGCGCTGTCCTCCCTTTGCAGCTGGAGGCCGGACACCGAGCGGAGACCCTCCCTGCTCGGTCCCGTCTCCCCCAGCCGCTCGGGTCCAGTCTCCAGCCAACACCCGAGTGTCCTCTGAGCGTGCGGAGCCCGGGCCACGGACATCAGCGCCGCTGCTGCCTTCCACGCAGACCCGCGCCGCGCCTGCTTCCTCCCGGATGAGACGGGCTGGCGGGCTGAGTTCCAGGGGGCCCGTCCCTCCCGGTTCTTGCGAATCGGTGGCCTTTTAACGCGCAGCCCGCTTCTCCCGAAAGGCCGCGTGCGGGCGGGCAGGGGCCCCAACGCCGCACCGTGACCGTGAGCGGGCGGACCACCCCCAGCGCCAGCCTCCTCGCCTCTCCAGCAGGAACGAGGCCCACAGCGCCCCCTGAAGACGCGCGAGCTAGTGAGCTGCGCACACAGTAGGTTCAATTGATGGAGTGAGTCGTTTGAAGCCCTCACTCCCCGGTGCCT